CCTAAAAACCACATTATCTTGCCTCTGAGTGCCCCAAGGGCATTAAGGATCCGCAACATCATTGCCCTGGGGGCTATTGAACTGTTCCATCAAGCTGGGCACTGGACCATGAACCAAGATGAACTGGGCTGGGTTGGGCAGGCACTATGGAAGGACTGACAAGGCATGCCCAGGGATGGCAGGAAAGAGGCAGCTTTATATAAGAAATAATCCTTCATTTTTGCTTCAGGCATTCCCCCAAATAACTGATTGTCTGAATTCAACCAGTTTCACAAATATTTATTAAGCACTGACTTTATGAAAAACCTTACTGAGGCATAAATTGATAGATATAGTTCTTGTCTTCAAGAAATAGAATCAAGGATTGACAGACCTCTTAGGGAACTTAGAATGTAGACTATCAGAACTGTAAGTAACTTTAGAGCATAGAACATAGAATGAAGGTAAGAGCCAGAAAGGATCGTAACACATAGAATGTAGAATATTAAAAGTCAGAAGGGACCCACACCACATAAAATGTCAGACACATTAAGGACCTTAGAACCTAAAATCTTAAAACTGGGAGAGACCTTAGAACAAAGAACAAATGTTATGAGATCTAGGAGAGACCGTAGTATCCAACAGAGACTGTCAGAGCTGTCTGGGACTTTAGAAATCATCTAGTCCAACATCATTTGATAGAAGAAAGAAACACAGTATATTTTTCAAACTATATATTCACTCTGAGAAACTAAGCATAGTCTAAAAGAAATCTGCAAATCTGGACATAAGAATTTGAATGAAAATGGCTAATATAGTTTCAGCACTGGTCTTCCACAGATCTCATTGCTTCCCTTATGGTCAGAACATAATAGTGCTATTCTAGACTTTGGGGAGGGTGTTTTCAAGTGGGAAACATGCTTGCAAATTGACAGATTAGAAACAAAAATTATCTGCCTCTGTTGGATTTAAAGGTTTCTGTTTGAGGAAATGATGTTTCTCAGTTCCCAAAGGCTTAGATGGACTGACAGACCAAACAGAAACCCCAAACCACTTGTCTAACCTTGAAGCCCAGGAGAGGATGTTGTCAGGTATTCTCCTTGGTCCAAGAATCTCTAAGGCAGAGGTGTCAAGTAGGCAGTCCATGGACCCCACGCAGATAGCACTCCCAACCAAGTGCTGCCTGAACCAGATTAAAATGCAGTTAAGAAACATTTAACTAAATAAGTAAAAATGCAATAAAACATAGGTAACATTACACTTTAAAATAAGACAATATATGGCCTGAAGGGATCCGTATGCACAAATTAGGCAGGTCTCTATTTGAGTTTGACACCAATGCTCTAAGGCACTTCCCAGGTGGTTTAAGCTTTTGGACAAAGCATAAAGGGAGAAAGTGAACAGGTGAAAATATGGAATCATTGAATTTCAGAGCTGGAAGAGACTTAGAGGACATCTAGTACAGCCTGAACAGAAATACTCTCTACAACATCCCTGACTCATGTCCATCAAACCTCCACTTGTCAGGTCTTCCCCTCTAGTGATGGGGAACCTGATACCTCCTGAAATCAGTCCATTTTACTTCTAGAAAGTTCTAGTGGTTAAGAAGTTTTTCCTTTCATTAAGCCTACTTCTGCTTCTTTGTATAATATCCAGAACTTTCATGACCAAGGAATCGAATTGATTAACATCATCAAAAAACATTTATTGAGCATCTGTACATAAGCATTGGTTTAACTTTAGAACTAAATATGGCACAAAAGGGGCAAATGCTTTCCCATGTACATTAAAGTGATGAAACTGGCTAGAATTAGCCATGCAGTCTGTGACTGTGGAAGAACTTTTCATTTTGTGATGCTAAATGTCAAACCTGTGACAATGGTCTCATTAGAGAGAATACATTTTAAAAACTCTTTTGTTTTGTTGGTGAATGCCAGAATTGGAATGTCCTTAGAACATTCAATAAAAAATGTCAGAGCTAGGAGGGACTATGGAATGCAGCATGTCAGAGCTAGAAGGGACATTTGAGATGGTCTACGTTCCTCATTTTATAGAGGAAAAGATTCAAACTATCTAAGAGAGCAGAGGAAGAGGATTCACTTCCAGCTTGGAGCCTGGGGTGAGGGGGAGAGGTTGAAAAGAGAAGGGTTGTAGAGCAGATGACATTTGAGCTACTAGGCCCTTGAAGGTTGACTAGAACTTTAAAGATCTGGGATGGGCATGCCAGGCATAGGAAAAAAAAAACATTTCAGTTACATAAAAAAGGGGAATAAATAAAACCTCAAAGAGGGGAAAGTCTTTGACACATTTGGAATATAGTTAATTGTCCAGTTTACCTGATGCATTAAGTATGGGAAGGAAAGCATGTGACAAAATACAGGGTAGAATGGGGCCAAACTGTCTGAATGCCCGGCTAAGGGGTTTGGAATCTGACCTGTTGCCATTTTATTTTATTTTGCAGGGTAGCTTTGGAGAGAAAGAGCAACCAGCAGGTTAGCACAGTTGAAAGAAAGCACGGTGTAGCGGTAAGCACTGCAATTGGGGTCTGATGACTTGGGCTGGAGTCTCATCTCTGCCATTTGCTGGGCAAGTTACATCCCCTCATAATCTTAGTCTCTTCATCGAAAGTGAAAAAATTACACGAAATAACCTCTAACATCCTTTCAAGCTCTTGCATTCTGTGATTTCTGTGAATGAAATTGAGCATCTTCCCCCACCCCCATCCCTGCAGAAAAAAAAAACACCATGCGCTCTACTTTCTGCCCGGCCAGTCAAGAGTTAATGCGGCCCTCAGTCTTTCTTCCATCCTGGAGGTGGCGCTGTTTGGCCTCTCTTGCCTGCTCAACTTCCAAGGCTTTTCCAAACAAGTGCGGGACAGAATTGCAGGCAATAGCCGAGGCTCAGACCAGACTTGTTGATCTCCGCGAAGAGGTGGCAGGAGGAAAGCCGAGAGAGGAAGTCGAGCAGCCCGGATTGAGTCCCCCCAGAAAGGCTGCAGCTTCGTTTTTTTCTCTTGCCTTTCCCCCTCAATTGCATTTCCTCTTATAGCTACATACACAAACCCAGACACACATACATATACACACATCCTCAAACACTCACACACTCACCAGATCCAGCACTCGAATACTGAAGATTAAAGACGCGTTTGCAGCCGGGATTGGGCGGAGGGGAAAGCAGCAAGCGACTGCCCAGCGGAGGGAAGGAGGCCTGGCACAGCCCTGGCCCCCGGGCTGGGGGCGAGCTCCGCCCGCCCGGCTCCCACCCGCGCCGGGGGCCGGCAGGGGCTATGCCAAGGCCCTGGCGACCGGAGGCTGCCGCTGAAGAGGTAGGGACCGAGCTGAGGCTGAGGCTGAGGCTGAGGCTGAGCAAGGATGGAAGGTTGGGGGTGGGGGGTTCGGAGGTGTGGGGAGAGATCTGTTGGAGGCCAGGACGCTGCGGGGCGGCGGGGTGGGGGTGCAGTGTGTGTGTGTGTGTGTGTGTGGTGGGGGGCCGCTTTCCTTCCCCTCTGGTCCCTGCTCCAGCGCAGCCCTCTCGGGCAGGGCACTGGCCAGGGACGGGGGGCGGGGGGCGGGGAGGAGCTGATTTCCTATTTAACCTGGAGTCCTCAGCTCCGTTCTGGACGTGGAGGGCAACGGGGGGGGGGGGGGGGAAAGAGGGAAAGAGGGAACCCGGCGGGAGCGGGGGGGGAGGGGAACACCACCATTCCCAAACAGCTGGAAGCACGGGGCACGGATGGGTCAAGGCAGTCGGGGTCAGAGAGTCTTTCCCTTCCCCAGGGTGCGCGGGAAGGAAGAGGACAGAGAGGAGGAGAAAAACATTTGAAAGATCAGAAAATGCAGCCCAATTCCCCGCCTTCCTTTCCCTCCACCCCCCCCCCCCCCCAAGCTCGGGGAAACGCGCAGAACCGGAGTTATAAAAAGCATCTGCAGGAGGGAAAAAGAGGAGGAGGAGTGATCCGCGGAGGTGGGAGGGAAAGAAAAAGGAAGAGAAATGAAGCTGGCCTGGGAGGACTCCTGTTCCCTCTCCCCCATCCCCCGTGTGTCTGTGTGTTTGTCTCTGTGTATCCGTGCGTCTGTATCTGTAGACATCAGAGGTCCAAGGTCCTTTGGCTCTCATTTCCCTCTGGCCAGGTCACTGTTAGGCTGGGGCTGCGTGCCCCTGGGTTTAGAGGTCACTGAAGATGGGAAGGGTGCGAGATTTAGAGACTTTAGGGGTCTCGGGGGCTGTGGGCCGTGTTCCCTTAGAGAAAAATCTGGGGACCAGAGACCTAACAAAAGCACTGTCCGGACACCTCGTCTGCCCCAGGCCCCATTTAGTTTCTTCTCGCTTTCTGTCCTTGCCTTATCTCTAGGCGAATTGGAAAGCAGAGGGGGAAGCCCCAAATCAATTTACCTCCCCCCAAGCATATAGTGCTTTTTGGAGCAAAAATGGAAACTATTAAACACACACACGCGCGCACACACACACACACACACAAAGTTTTTCTTTTAACAGGGCCCCTGAAACCTTTCTCAGTCTCTGATGGAAGGCCCGAAAGTCGTTAGGTTCAGCACTTTGACGGGGCGGACAGCGCCCCTGGGCTGAACTAGCCACTTCGCCCTGAGCTAGAAGGGTTTCTTTTGGAGCTCAGGGGCACTTACCCGAACGTCCTCCACCCCGTCTTCTTCGGGATCCAGGCCACAGACTGGAGGCTGAGCGTACCGCCTCAATACCCCCCTCCCCCCTCACCTCTGGGTAGGGATAGAAGGAAGGAGGCGGGCTTCAGCACTAACAGGAGGGACAGCGCTCTGGTCGCTCCGCCTTCAGCCTAGAGCCTCTTAGCCTTGAGGCTCAGGCGTGCTGCTGACTGGGTGGACAGAGCGGCCTTGGGACCAACAGACTGGGGGGGGGGGGGGTCCGGGTGGGGGGGGGGGGCGGGGGGCCGCCCCCCCCCCGGGGGGGGGGGGGGGCAACCCGCTCTCTCCCCGGGGGCGAGGGGGGGGGGGGGGGGGGGGCGAGTGGCGGCGGCTGGACCCGCGATGCCGTCGGGCATGACGAAGCATGGCTCGCGTTCCACCACCTCCCTGCCGCCGGACCCCATGGAGATCATCCGGAGCAAGGCATGCTCCCGTCGAGTCAAACTGAACGTCGGGGGACTGGCCCACGAGGTCCTGTGGCGGACCCTGGACCGCCTGCCCCGCACACGGCTGGGTCGACTCAGAGACTGTAACACTCACGACTCACTCATGGACGTCTGCGATGATTACAGCCTGGACGGCAACGAGTACTTCTTCGATCGTCACCCGGGAGCCTTCACATCCATTCTGAACTTCTACCGCACTGGCAAGCTGCACATGATGGAAGAAATGTGTGCGCTCTCCTTCAGCCAAGAACTGGACTACTGGGGAATCGATGAGATCTACCTAGAGTCCTGCTGCCAGGCTAGGTACCACCAGAAAAAGGAGCAAATGAATGAAGAGTTGAAGAGAGAGGCAGAGACCCTGCGGGAGCGAGAGGGAGAGGAGTTTGACAACACGTGCTGCGCTGAAAAGAGGAAGAAGTTATGGGACCTACTGGAGAAGCCCAACTCCTCTGTGGCTGCCAAGGTAAGCCTGGGCCAGGGAAAGTCTCCTTCCTCCTAGGGGAAAAGCTAGGACCAAAAGGGGAGGAAGAGAGCAGCCCCAGAGACTGTCTTTGGGAACTCCGTGGTAACGAGGGACAGAAAGAGAAAAGGAAAGACAGTGATACTTGAGAAGCCGGTTGTGAATTGTAAGGTGGGAATGGGCAGCAGAAACAACAGTCTCACCCTCTTCATTTCCCTTCTCTACTTTAAGAGGCTGAGCTTTTCCTCAATCACCATTGGTAGGGAGAGGGGGCTTCTCCCCACTCCCCCAGATCAATCATAACATTGACTCTCTAGGCCAGATATGAAAAACAATGTTCTTCCCACTAAAACTTAATGGGAAAAGTAAAGGCGGTGGGGTGGGGAGTGAAGCACTGCCTAAAATGGTTTGCTCCCTAGGGATTTCTTGCCCCAAAGAAGAACTAGCCCATCTTAGGGTTAGTTCTTATTTTCATTTCTTGCTTTTATTCACTGCCCTCTTTATTTATGAGGCTGTGACCATAATCCAGTAGGAGGTCTTGGGAAGTTCGTGTCCAAAAAGCTTCCTGTAAGATGCTTACTTTGGCTCAGTGGATTTATCTTGCTATTTCAAGGTGTGAAGTAGAGTGTTCCCTTTAGATTCTGACTTGCCAATAAATCTCTAAATTTCTTATCATTTTGTGTTTCCCCATTCTCAGAATGAGGGAGGGGAGAAGAAAGGTACCTTCCTATCTTGGTAAGGGTCAGCATCTGTCAGGAGTTCATTGAACACTTGGGTTTACAAGAGGCATCTTGGGTTAATCCTCTTGTGACCTCTATGTGTTCCTGGAGAGACCTGGTTATCTTCATTCCTGATAAATTTGTGTTGTGGAATTTTCTTTAGCCATGGTTAGGCTGGAAAGAAGCTGAAGAAGGAGGATGTTAAAGCTGTTACTGGGTTGACCCACCAGATATGGGAAAGCCCACCCCATTTGGTATCTCTCTCTCTCTCTCTCTCTCTCTCTCTCTCTCTCTCTCTCTCTCTCTCTCTCTCTCCTTTTTCCCAACCCTATCCAGCCCAATTCTTCTTTCCTCCTTCCCCTCTATCCTTCATTCCTTAATCTAGTACTTGAGGGTTTCAGAAATCTAGTGTAAGTTCTGGGAAGCTGCATGGTGAGAGAAAACAAGGGAACCTACTCTTGTGCCATTGAGAGGAAAGTGGCTCTGATGAAGCTACTAAGTTTCCTTCCTGATGTTAGGCCAGGTTCTCCCCTTTCATTGAGCAGCTAGAACTGTCCGTAGCTGACCAGGGAAGGGGGTCAAGGACATTTTGTTATCATGGAGATGAACTGAAGCAGAAACCCCCTTGCTGTCAAATCCATTAGATGTGACAATTGCTGATGATCCACCAGCAGGGTCAGTCCCACTGAGCCAGTGTTATTTGGAATTTGTAAGTAGCCACTGCTACAGCAGGATCTTGCTTTCCGGAGAACAGAATCTCGGAGTTGGAAGGGACCTCAGAGATTATGTAGTTCAACCAGTGCCTGAACAAGAGTCCCCATTACCAAATATTGGACAGATAGCTAGCTGAGAAGAAGCTTGAAGCTCTTCAGTATGTATGGTGGGGAAAGCAGGGGGATGGGCGATACCACTACTTCCCAAGGCAGCCCAGTCTACTTCTGGAGAGCTCTGATTGATTGTCAGAAAGTTTTTTTCCTGACATCAAGCCTAATTTTGCCTCTTTACAACTTCCATTTTCTCTAGTTCTTCCCTCTCCGGCCAAGTAGAACAAGCTAATCCATCTCCCATGTGACAGACCTTCAAATATATAAAAATAGCTATTGTGTACACCCTAAATCTTTTTCCCATGATAAACTTCCCCAGTAATTTTGACCAATTTTCATATAGCATGATCTGCCCTCTCATGCTCAGAACCATATAGGGAGCTTAATTTTTAAATTCTGATAGACCACTCCAATTTGTTCTTTTCAAAGTTTACAACACTAACAAATATCTAGTACCAGGGCTATCCTCAAGTGAAGGGGAAAGGAGACAGTTGCCTTGGGTGTCCAGAATCTAGTATTGCTGGGAATCATTAATGAGGCAGGCAGATGCTGTGACACTGTTGTGTGGTAGTGGTTAAGTCACTTAATCTCTCTGAGCCTGGATTTCCTCATCTGTAAAATTAAGACAGTAATACTTATACCACCTACCTCAGGGTTGTTTTGAAAAATGCCCCAGATGCAATTTCAAGCCAACTGGCCAGAAGCATCTTTCTAATCTATGAAGAATCTTTGGGAATCATAGAACTGTAGGAAGGAAGAACTGGAAAAGACTTCAATGATTATTTAGTCCAACTCTCCCATTTTATAGATGAAAAAACTGAGGCTCAGAGAGGCGCGAGGTCTTGTTTAAAGACATATTTCACATACACACACACATATGTAAGCTAGTGGTAGAATAGAGACAAGAACTCATATCTCCTGACTCACAGTCTTGTGCTCTTTTCTCTACTTCATGATGGTTCTTATTATAAAGATGTTTATTTTCCTACATACTTCCTCAGCTTCATCAGGTCAATATGATAGTTCCATCTTGCTTCCCAATCTCAGAAAGTGGCCTCATCCCCTTTTGCCAACTTCCTATGTGACCTTGGACATCCTACTGCTTCTCCTTAGGTATCAGTTTCTTCCTATGTAAAATGAGGGGATTGGACTCGGGCTTCTGTAAGGTCCCTTCCAGCTCTAAAATTCTGTGATCAGTCAGCAACTGGCAGACCCAATTAAATTAGAGTCCTCAAGGTGTTCCCTTGCCCATCTCAGGTTGGTCCTTAGGCAGTGTCAAGGCTGATTCTTGCTGTCATTACTCACTGCTGCCTTACTGACTGCCGTTGTCTTCAGTATAATGATGCTGTGTTTGCCAATTTCTCGGTGTCTCACATCTTCGAGGTATTTGACCTGTTATCAAAGAGCTGCTAAAAATAACGGGTAATATTTCACTAATTGTTCTCTTCCTGTCCTCCTTGCAGAACATGAGGTACTAGGTTACTTGGGTCTCATCCCTGCGACTGTCTGGTTTTCTCCCCAATTTCCCTATCCTTAGTCACTGCCAATCCAGCCCTGTTTCCCCTTGTTGTCTGACACAATTGCTATGGAAGTGGCCCCCTCTGAAATCCTTTCCCATAACATAGCAGAAGCAAAACTAAAAAGAAAGGGAGGAATGTTTGATAAACCTTCTCTCTTTTATCATTTATCTCTACTTTCCATTACCTCTTGTAATGGATCCATTTTCTCTTTTATCTCCTGTTGGCTATGAATATATTTGCACATCTTTTTGCTGTTCCTTGAAATATTCGCTGTCATTTTATTTACCATTTCCCTCCTGCTTCTGTAACTCTTCTTTTTGCTCCTATGTCTACTTATTCCTGGGACTCACCAGTCCCTCCAGTCATGGAAGTATGTGAGTACTTATTTTGTGGCTCCGGCTATTAAAACAGTAGCCATCTTTTGGACCAACAGGGATGGCTCCCTGTTCACTCTGGGACCTACATTGCCTTTTCTCTTTAATGGACATAGTAGCTGAAGTCTTCAGTGCTATACTGGGAGTTAGGACTCCTGGATTCCAGGTCTATCTCAGTCATTAAATAGCTTTGGGACCTTGAGCAAGTCATTTCCCCTAATTTGAGCCTCAATTTCCTCCTCTGTAAAATAAAGCAATTAGACTCAATGATCAATCAATAAGCATTTTCAATCAATAAGCATTAATTCAATGACTACTATGTGCCAGGCACCGTGCTAAGTGCTGGAGATACAAAAAGAAGGAAAAGACAGTCCCTGCCCTCAAGGAGTTACAATCTAATGGGGGAAACAACATGCAAACGAATACATACAAAGCAGGCCATATACAGGATACATAGGAAATAATTAATAGAAGAAAGGCACTAGAATTAGAAGGGGTTAGAAAAGGCTTCTTATAAAAGATAAGATTTGGGACTTAAAGGAAGCCCTGGAAGTTAGTAGACAGAGTTGAGGAGGGAGAGTGTTCCAAGCATGGTGGAAGAGCCAGAGAAAATGCCCAGAAAATGCCCAGAACTGAGAGATAGATATCTTGTTTGTGGAACAATCAGGAAGTCAGTATCACTGAATCAAAAAGTATGTGTCAGGGAGTAAGGTGTAAGAAGCCTGGAAAGGTAGGAGGCAACTAGGTTATGAAGGGCTTTGAATGCCAAATAGAACATTTTGTATTTGATCCTGTAGGCAATAGGAAGCCACTGGAGTTTACTGAGTAGGGGAGAGGAGTGACATGATTGGACTTGTACTTTTGGAAGATCATTTTGGAGGCTGAATGGAGTTGGATTGGAGTAGGGAGAGACTTGAGACAGGCTGACCCAGACATGCAAAAGTTTGGGTGTGGGGTGATGAGGACCTGCACTAGTGTGATGGCAGTGTCCGAGGGAAGAAGGGGACATATTTGAGAGATATTGCAAAAGTGAAATGGTCAGGCCCTGGCCTGGATATGGGGGGATGGGCACAGATAATGAGATCTAGGATAACTCCTAGGCTGCAAGCCTGATGGCCTAGGAGGATTGTTGCCCTCTACGGTAATATGGAAGGTAGGAGAAAGGGTGATTTTAGAAGGAAAGATAATGATTCCAATTTTTAATGGACTTAATCCATTTAAATGGATTTAATCCAATTTAAAATGTCTACCGAAATCCAGTTTGAGATGTCTGAAAAGTAGTTGCAGATGTGATATTGTAGGTCACCAGAAAGTCTAGGGCAAGATAGGTAGATTTGAAAATCATTAGCACAGGGATGGTAATTAAATTCATGGGAACTGCAAAGGTCACTAAGTGAAGTACTATAATGGGAGAAGAGAAAAGGGCTCAAGACAGAACCCTGAGGTACACTTATGGTTAGAGGGTACGATCTGGATGAGGAGCAAAGGACATAGAGAAGGAGTGGTCAGATAGGTAGCATAAGAAACAGGAGAAAACCAAGAGAGAAGACAGTATCAAGGGGGAGA